TAAGTTTAAACCCTAGTATCACCAAAAAAAAAAAAAAAAAAAGAACAAAATGACATACTCTGCAGCCACCTCAGTGTTTGCTCAGTGAGCCATGAATACAGGCAGTATAGAGATAAGGGGTTTGCTTGGCTTCCCCTTACTAAGGCTGGCCCAGCTAACACAACTGCCCTGTGCCTAATCTGCTAAAACCAGGAAACCATCCACTATCCAAAAGGCAGCATTTCCTAGAAGGACCGGCCAGCCAGCTGGTGGTAGGTTGGTTACACTGAACATTTTTTTTTTTTTGCAGTGCTGCAAATTGAACCCAGAGCCTCGCACATGCTAGGCAAGTGCTCTACCACTGAGCTGCACCCTTAGCCCTACATTGGAAATCTTCTATTATGGACATGACAACTGTGTTTACCTATTTACCCTCACTGGAATAAGCTTATATTTTAGATGTGGTTTTCCCTTTCAGCTAGATATGCTTCCACAGACAGTACTATCTGCGCATTCATAAAATGTGTTATGTGCCAGTGTGGTGGGGCATGTCTGTAGTCTCAGCTACTTGGAAGGTGAAGGTAGGAGGATTGCGGTTCAAGGCCAGCTTGGTAAAATTAGTGTGAGATCCTGTCTCAGAAACAAACTAAGACAATAATGAATTGCAAAATAATGCCAAAAGAAACAAAAAAAACTAAAAGAAAAAGGACTGGAAGTGTAGCTCATATGACAGAGCAGCTCTAAGCCCTGAATTCTAATGCCAGTACCACACACAAAAAAAGCTTTATGTATCCATAGTCATGGCATTCAGGCAACATTGATTCTAATAAAAAAAAACTTACTCAGCGCAAAGAAGCCTGATAATGGGAATATGTCTGTGCAACCACCTGGTCTTACCACATGTTCCCATAAGTCAGAAAGATCTCATCTAAACTAGGCATAGTGGTTCATGCCTGTAATCCCAGCTACTCAGGAGGCAGAGACAGGAGGATCACAAGTTCAAGGCCAGCCTGGACAACTTAATGAGAAATAAAATAAAATTTTACAAGGGACAAGGAGGTCTGGTAGAGTGGCTCAAGTGAAGAGAGCATTGCCTAGCATGAGGCCCTCAGTTCAAACCCCAGTACCACATAAAAAAAAAAAAAAGCACAGAGATGTATCTCAATGGTAGAGTGCTTGCCTAACCTCTGCAAAGTCCTGGGTTTGAACCCCAGCACTGCAATAAACAAACAAACCAAAAGCAACAAAATCTGATGTACACGGAGGGTGGCATGTCTTCCTGAAAACCCAGTTACAGTGTCAGTGGGAGACACTCCTATGGAAAGGGGTGGGGGGGTTCTGTCTCACTGGACCAGGTCTATGCTTCGAACCAGACAGCCTTACATGATACTGTTTTCCCACAGTAAAAAAAGAAAAAAAATGGCCCTAGGAATTGACTAGTGAGGGTGGAATTCTTCCTTCCAGTCCCAGCAACTTAGAGCAGTATAGGTTTGGATACTCATAATTACTGGGGGATTGAATGCTTCCTCAAGAGGCACAGTTATGTTCCCATATTGCCATTTGTCCATTTTGTTCCCTCTTATACAGCTAAAGTAAGAGATGAAAAAAGGAAGGTGTGTATTAATCTATTGTTGGATTGAAAAATCCCAATTACAAAAGCATTACAAACTGGTGGGGTGGCTCAAGTGGTAGAATGCTTGCCTAGCAAGTGTGAGGCCCTAAGTTCAAACCCCAGCACTGCCAAAAAAAAAAAAAAAATCAAAAGTATTACAATTCATACTATACAATTGACCCAAGGAGGGTGACGTCTAGAACCTACAAGTGCATCCATGCTGTATAGAAAAGGCTAAGAGAAAATTGCAAGTGAAAACGGGCCAGTCAATAAAGGACTTAGACCTGTTGGGAATGCAGGGTTGAGTCACTCTGCCAGAACTGCCAAGACTCTGGCTGAAGAAGAGGAAATATGGAGTTAGTCATTGAAGTAGTAATCCACGTCTTGGTGTGTTTTCTGTTGTTATAACTGAATACCACAGGCCTGGCAATTTATAAAGAGTAAAGATTTATTCAACTCACATTTTTGGAGGCTGGAAGGTCCAAGGTCAAGAGGTAGCATTTGACCAGGGCCGTCTTGCTGGGGGGAGCTCTGCAGAGTCCCGGGGTAGAACAGGGCATCATGTGCAAAGAAAGAGCAAACTTGTTAGCTGGGTGCTTTGCTCCTCTTAAAAAGCCACTAAAGGGATAGCAGAATGGCTCAAGTGGTAGAGTACCTGTTTAGCAAGTGTGAGGCCCTGAGTACTGCCAAAAACAAACAGCCACTGCTGCAGGGCTGGGATGTAGCTCAGTAGTAAAACACTTGCTTAGCATATGCAAGGCCCTGGGTTCCATCCCCAGCACTGAAAAAAAAAAAGCCACTAATGCAGCTGAGCATGGTGGTACTTTCCTGTAATCCCAGAAGGCTGGAGCCATAGGATCTTGAGTTCAAGATCCTTGGGCTTCAAAGGAAAACAACATGTAATCATCTTGCACATTTTTCCTTGCTTGTTATATATGTGCATTTTCTAATATTTATGTGTTCATTCATGTAAACTCAGTTCACTTTCACCTCCTTCCTACTCTTTTATTTATATAATTTCTAATTTATATATATAGATATAGATATATATAATTTAGTCAATTAGGTAAGAGAATATTGAGGAGATATTTATATGGCCTGTGAACTTTCTCTCCTTGGGGAAGTATGAGAAGTTCTTCCTTTATCTTTTTAGGTAGAAATGTATCTTGTTTTAAGCCACAATTCGAGTGTATGTAGGAGAGTACATATGGCAGTTGAGTAGCCAAAACTTGGACTACACCAGTCATCCATTTACCTATCTCAGCCTCAAATTAATCTTCACCATTTGCTTTGAAATAATGAAGTGGATCCTCTCCCTCTTTCTGACAGGGTCTCATTATGTAGCCCAGGTTGGCCTCGAACATACGATCCTCCTGCCTCTGGGGTGCTGGGATTACAGGTGTGCCACTCGCCCAGCAATGGGGTTGATTAAGTATTTGTCTTTGTCACAAAACGTACTACGCTTAATCAGTACAGGAGATCCTGGAGGGTTGCTGCAAAAGGAATTCTCCGCCTGCATCTCACTGGTGCTAGCAGATCAGCGCTGTAGGGGCGGGGAGGACATCCTGTCCTACTCTGCCCATGCTGTGTGCTCAGAACATAGTCCATGGGTGATGTGGAAGCTCTAGCCTGGGTACCTCCATCCCATGGCCCCCCTAACATGGCCATCTAGGGCTGAAAGAGCCTTTATCAGCAGATGGATCCTCAGCATGAGTGCCAGCTTGATGGCTTTTCCTTCATGACACACTCCGTGCAGTCCTCATGAGCAGGCCTTGTGCTGCATGTTGGTTCAGCTCCCCATGCTTCACTCACAATAAGACTGCACCCCAGAGCTTTGTTTCCCAGTGTCCTCGTAGGACTGCCACTGTGCACCTGACCACCAACCAGTCTCATTTCTTATATGCCTTGGAGGTGTGTTTGTCACACCTCTCCCAAGGCAAGCCATCTATTCAAGGCATCCTGAATACAGCATGGCCCACATCTGCCTACACGCTCCCCCACCAACTATGGCACCCCACACTTTTGAGCATTCATTTTTACTTTACTGGTCACTGTCAGCTAGCCCAGGCCCAGAGGAACCCAACAAACTTCCCCATTCAGTGGCTACAAGTACACCATGGAGAACAGACCCTAAAATGATGAAGATCAATGGCTGTCATCTTCTGATTCTTTTCTTGTGGCCTCACGTATGCCAGGCAAGTGCTCTACCACTCAGCTGCAGCCCCGGCCCTACCTTCTGTTATTCACACTTGGGTCATCATCTTCCCTTGAGTGTCTACTGGACATCTGGTTTGTTTCTACACAACAGAATATGAAAAATATGAAGGGTTTTTCAAATGTAATTAGGGCCACAAACCAGTGAGTTAGCTGAGAATTTTTACACAGAATGAAAGTGCAGGTGAGGCAGAGGGGGTAATTGAGTGGGCGAACATGATCAAAGTACATCTATGCATGCATGGAAGTACCTTATTTTGCATAATTACTTTGCTAATAAAAAATGCACAGGACATTTTCCTTTTGTTGATGAAGGCCTTGCAGTTAAAACTGGAATATGGGGTTAGAGATGTAGCTTCCATACAGAACACTGCACACACAACAAAAAAGAAACTACAAAACTAGAATTTGTTCCTTATTTTTCTCCAGAAAAGTCTTTAAGTTTTGAAAAACTTGATTCAGAAACTTCCAAATGAAAGCAGGGTATGGTGGTGCTCACCTTGTAATTCAGCACTTAGGAGGGTGAGACAGGAGGATCTCAAGTTTAAGGCTGGCCTGGGCTCATAAAGAAGAAAGAGAAATGAAACTCCCAATGGAATGATAGAAGGGAGAAATTTTCATGTGCAGGAAAATTATAAGTATATTTATACTTTCACCTAGACATCCCACCTTCAAAATTAACTACCACAAATATTTTTTTAAAGAACAATTTTATTCACTGCAGATTACTCATGGATAATGAAATAATAGGGAAGGCTGTTGGAGGACATGTTCTGAATGTCAAAATATCAACCTAGAAATCACTTTCTTATTCAAAAGGAAAAGTGTGTATTTTTAAAAAAGGGCTCTGCAGTCAATACCTTAAGCAAGTATCAAACATAGTGTCCCTAACAGGACCATATAAACACACATCTTCTGATGAAATGTAATTGCAAATGCAAAAACATCGCCTACAAAGTATTTTGCAAATGAGCATGAGAATTCTCTAACTCTGGAGTTGGCTTTCCCACACTCCTCACATTCATTGGTGTTCTCTCCAGTGACATCATCTCTCCTGTGCTGGAAAGGACCTGGAGTAATGAAGGCTTTGAAACACTGTTTACATTCTTAATTTTTCACCAGTGTGGAGTAACAGGTGACTGTTAAGGTATATGGAAACCAAACATTCCCACATTCCTTAAATGTCTGTCTATGGTTATGAGGCTTTGTGAGTTCGTATATGATTATTGCGACTTGAGGAGTACGTAAATACTTTGCCACATATCTTACATTCGTAAGGCTTCTCTCCAGTATGGGTCCTCTGATGGACAGAAAGGTTTGAGTAGTGAGCAAAGGTCTTCCCACACTCCTTACATTGATAAGGGTTCTCTCCAGTGTGAATTCTTATGTGCCGGTTGAGGTCTGAAGCAGCAGTGTAGGCCTTCCCACATTCTTCACATTTATAGGGTTTCTCTCCACCATGAGTTCTTACATGTTCAATCAGACAGAAAGACCTGGCAAAGGCTTTCCCGCATTCTTTACAAACAAAAGGCTTCTCTCCGGTGTGTGTTCTTATATGTGCCATGAGGCAAGTGGATGTGGTGAAGGCTTTCCCACACTGCTGACATTCATAGGGCTTCTCTCCAGTGTGAGACCGCATGTGTTTAGTAAGGCCTGAGGACTGCGTGAAGGCTTTTCCACATTCATTACACTTGTAGGGTTTGAGTCCAGTGTGAATGCGAACATGTTTCTTAAGGTAGGAGGAATTTCCGAAGGATTTTCTGCATTCCTTACATTCGTAGGGCTTCTCCTCAGTGTGAATTCTTGCATGTTTAGTTAGGTATGAAGACACACTGAAGGCTTTCCCACACTCTTTACACTCATAGGGCTTCTCTTCACTGTGAATCCGTACGTGCTGAGAAAGGCCCCAGTACTGGGCGAAAGCCTTCCCACACTCTGTGCATTTATAGGGTCTCTCTCCGGTGTGGGTTCGCATGTGCTTACTCAGGTACGCAGGGTATCTAAAGCCTTTTCCACATTCCTTACATCTGTACGGACCTTTTCCACTGAGACTTCCTATCTGCACAGCAAGATTTGTGGAGAGAATAAAACTGCTCCCATATTCACTCCATTCATAGAGTTTTTCTTCATTGTGAGTTCCCACGAGGGCCTGAAGGTATGACTGATTAACAAGGGCTTGCCCACAGTCACTGCAGTCAAATGGTTTCTCTCGTGTATTTGTCCTTTTGTACTCAGTGTTTGGAGGTGGGCTGAGGGTTTCCCCATGACTGTTAAACTTAGAGGGTTTCTCTCCATTAGAGGCTTCCATGTGCAGAGGAAGGAGGTCTTTTCTATACTGATCACACTCATAACTGTTCTGTGTATTTGGAGTTCTCATATGTGTCTCAAAGCAGGAATGGTTAATACAGATTTCATGCTGACTACAGTCATGGAGTTCACCAACACCATTGCTTCCTCCCTGTTGATAAATGGATGAATAAAGAAATGATGATTAAAATATGGTATTTTGAGGATGAAAATTATTTTTGCCACTGTGCTTCATTCATAATTCCTCCATATGTCTTTTCTTTTTTTTTCTTTCTTTTTTTGGCAATACTGGGGTTTGAACTCAGGTCCTCATGCTTGCTAGGCAGGCACTCTACCACTTGAGTCACTCCACTACCCTTTTTTGTTCTGGGTATCTTTGAGATAAGGTCTTGCAAACTATGTGCCCAGGCTGGCTTTGAACCAGGGTCCTCCTGATCTCTGCCTCCTGAGTAGCTAGGATTACAGGCATGAGGCACCAGCACCTGGCTAAGAGATATTCTTTCTTAATCTTACCATTTGTACTCCTCTGCAAGTTTGTCCCCTCAAAACCTCCTGTGAGAGTGTGGACTCACTGGTACTAAGATGAGTTTCACATTCTGAACATAAACAGAAAAAACAAAATTAAGGTCTGGGTAAAGAAATGGCTGACTGCAATACTTAAAAATGATAGAGTTGGTTTGTATTTATTTTCAAATTAAACCTAGGTAAGAAATTTAAGAACTTTAAAAGAAAGCAAAGTTTTGAAAATTTTGATTAGGTCAAACTTTTGGAAGCCAAGCATGGATGTCACTGGTGTCCTACCACTTGGGAGTGAGACAGGTTTGGAGTTTGAGGCTAGCTTGGGCTACATGTATCAAAAAAAACTGTATATAAAAAAAAAGGCTGAGCACAGTCGCTCATGCCTGGTGGGACTGGCAAAGCAAGTGCTCTACTGATTGAGCCACACCTCTAGTCCTAACCTTTTTTTATTATTTTCTTTTGGGCAGGGAGTACTGGGGCTTAAACTTGGGGTTTTGTGCTGACTAGGCAAGTGCTCTACCACTTGAGCCGCACTCCCAGTCCTTTGTTTTATATTTTGTTTTTGAGAAGGGGGTCTCGCTAACTTTGCCTGGGCTTGCCTTGGATTCTGGATGCTCCTGCCTCCACCACCTGAGTAGCTGGGATTATAGGTGTGAACTACCACATCCAACTGAATGTCCTCAATCTTCTGTGATCAAGTACATCTTAAAGAGTTTCCTTCACACATACCTTGGAAAGCTCCCTTCTGCATTGCCCTTGCATCCTCTTCTTCTAACCAAGAGATCAGGCTGGGTTTGATGGGCTGACATCCTATACATGGAAATGTACATTCATGATAAAGGTTGATGCAAGGCAGCATAAAGCCCAGTATAAGCCAGGCACAGTGGTTCATGTCTATAATCCCAGATACTTGGGAGGCAGAGATTGTGGAGACTGAAGTTCAAGGTCAGCCTGGCAAAAAGTTAGGAAGACCCTATGTCAAGCACTGAGCCCAGTGAGTAGACACTATGAGTAAAGCACGGCCGGGCTAATAAAATTTATGGACAAGAAGTTGTCACTGAAATCAAATGGTGGCAGATATGTCCAAGGAATACTGTGGGGATTTGATCCCTTTATGAATCTTGTCATAGAGAATGTGTGGAAATTGCGACTAGTGGGCAACAGAACAATATTGGAATGGTGGGAATATGAGGAAATTGTATCATCATGTTAGAAGCTTTGGAACAGATTTAAGTAACGACTGTTCAGCAGAGAAATCCATGTCCCCTCTCTAAAGGGCCTGTTTTACTATGAAGTAAAAATTGGGTCATGTATATTTTCATATTAAACTGTTTGTTAAATAAACTTTTGTAGTAGTAAAAAAACTTAAAATGAAATAAAAAAAAAAGACTCCATCTCAATGGAGAAGCTGGGCATGGTGTGCACCTATGATCACAGCTACAACGGAGGCCATACGTAGGTAGGAGGATCACAGTTCAAGTTTGGGCACCAGGCAAAGAACAGGAGACCAGCAGTTAAGTAATTTCAGAAGGGCTACAAATGCAAATATCACTTCTTTCTGTGCCCCCAAAATATTATCTCTGACCCCTGAAACCCAAATTAATGATTATGTACACAATTGCAGGCACTAACATTTTCAAACATTTAGGAAACAAAGTAAGTAAAATAAACAGATTTTTATTCTTATGGGGAAAAGACTACATTTTTTTTTTGTCAGTGTTGGTGCTTGAACTTGGGCCTTGTGTTTGTGTGTCAGGCGCTCTACCACTTGAGCTATGCCCCCGGCTCCTATTTTACTTTGCTTTTTGTATAGGGTCTCACATTTTTGCCCAGGGCCCTCCTCAGACAGAGTTCCTCCTACCTGTAGCCTACTGCATAGCTGGGATCAGAGGTGCATGCCACCACAACTGGCTACCCCAACAATTCCAAGACATTACAGAACAACAAATTCATCTAGAAGGCTTGTTAAAACACACCTGAAAGAACCCCACCCTGAGTGTCTGTGCAGTGTGTTGGAAGTGGAGACTGGGAATTTACATTTCCAGGACAGCGATGGTGATGCTGAGCTTGGGCCCCATTTTGAGAACCACAGCAGACTAAAACTTAGAGCAGGGACTGGGCTTCTGCTCCCCGCAGTGTATTCAGAGTAGAGCTCAGCACTAATGCCCGTCTCCTCCCTGGGAGGCCACAGGAAGGCCAGCAGTCTTACCGAGGGAAGCCAGGTTCTGGTAGTTCTCCAGCATCACCTCTCTGTACAGGGCTCTGTGAGTCTCATCCAACAAAATCCACTCCTCCTGGGTGAAGTCCACTGCCACATCCTCAAAGGTCACCGGGTCCTGAATCATCACACACATGCCAGCCTGAGTACCAAAAGCAGCATCCCCATGATGTCCACTCAAGAATGAGGAGCCGTGAATCCCATGCCTGTGCAGGGGCCTGAGGAGCTCTCCCTCTACCACATCCAGCTTCCTGCTGATCTGCTCCAGTTGTGAGGTGTTAGTGCCCCTTCTGACACGTGTACTGATTGCACCACAACTAGGCTGAGAGCTCTTCTCACCAATTTCCTTCTTTTAAAGTATATTCCCAGGTTAGGGGTATAGTTCAGTGGTAGAGTGCTTGTCCACCACATGCAAGGCTCTGGGTTCAATCCCCAGAACCGGGGGCAGGGGGGAGGGCGGGTAGAGGGGGAAGGACGATGTGTATACTTCCTGAGCAGACTGGCCCAGGCAAAAATACTAATATCCTATCCAAAATATAACTGAAGGAAAAAAGGGCTGGGAGTGTGGCTCAAGAGGTATAGCACCTGCCTAGCAAGCTCGAGGCTTTGAATTCAAACTCCAGTTTAAAATAAATATAAAAAAAATACAAACTAAGTAAGTAAAATTAAATTTTAAAAAATGAAGTCTTGGTGGATGCTTGTAACTCACGCCTGTAATCCTAGATACTCAGGAGTCAACTATCAGAAGGATCGTGGTTAAAAGCCAGCCCAGGCAAATAGTATGCATGACCCTATCTCAAAAATACCCAACACTAAAAAGGGCTAGTAGAGTGGCTCAAGTGGTAGAATGCCTGCCTAGCAAGCTTAAAGCCCTGAGTTTAAACACCAGTATTATTATAAATAAATAAGTCTAAGAGGAGGACATTTTCTTTCTTTCTTTTTTTTTTTTTTTTTGGTGGGACTGGGTTTGAACTTAGGGCTTCTTGCTTGCAAAGCAGTGCTTTACTGCTTGAGCCACACCTCCAGTTGTTATTTTAGAGATGGGGTCTCATGAATTATTTGCCTGGGCTGGCCTTGAGCCTAATCCTCCCAAGTAACTAGGATTACAAGCATGAACCATGGTGCCTGGCCTAAAGAGGACATGTTCTTCCATAAAATCTGTCAAGAGTAAATAACCATGCACTGGAAACTAGGAGGGTCAAGATCAATTCATAATTACTGAACCATGAGGATGATTTTCAAGGCAACTCCTCACAACATAAGAGGCTTGCTTGCTGGGAAAAATCACCTGGACACTAGTCTGAGCGTGGCTCTGTTTGCTTTCAGAAACAAGTCAAGGCTGTCTAGAGGGAAATTTGCTATAGAAGCAGGTATGGCATGATGTGGGATGCAGTCTCTACATACCTGATAACAATGTGTCAGACAGGCAGTCAGCATCCTTTATGGTTCTATCTTTTCTTCATGAGGTTAGACTTCGTCCCTAGAGGGAAGACCACCCCTGGGAAAGAGAGAGAGCATGAGACCCCAGCCCTGGCCATAATTCTCATTCCCATGCCTGGACTTCAGTGTGTCCTAGCATGAAATTCCCATTCATACTGCACATTTGAGAAAGCACACACAGACACTACTGCATGTGAGGCCACAGCAGTCCTGTCTCACCCAGAGCCAAGAAATGGGACCGGACCGAATTGTGCTATCCACTCTGACAGCCTCATTGGCTAGGTAAGGAACTCAGACCAGAGAGATGCGACTCATCACTGCATGGTGACACATCCCATGAGCAGATGTAGCACCTTTCTCTCTCTCTCTTTTTTTTGTCTTTTCCAGGCAGGGTCTCCATATGTAGCCCAGGCTGGTTTCCTGAGTGCAGAAGTGAGCCACCACACATGGTCTAAAATTCCTTTTTTGGGGGCAGTGCTGGGATTTGAGCTCAGGGCCTCACGCTTGCTAGGCACTCTTAGCCACTCTACCATCCCTTTTCTTGTGATGGATTTTTCGAGATAGGGTCTTGTGAACTAAATAGGGCTAGCTTTGGACCACAGTCCTCCTCATCTCTGCCTCCTGAGTATTTAGTCACTGGCGCCTGGCTAAATCCCCCTTTTTTTGGCTTTGCTTATTGCCATCACACTGCCCTCTATTTTACTTCCAGAACTGCCATCATTTTGTAATACACTTCTTTGCTTAGGCAGATGACAAGATACTCCACTAGATTACAAGTTAAATTTTGTCACCATGGCTTAGTCAACCACTGAAGCACTCAGTAGGTCTGCTATATCCTGTAATAAATGAAGAGAAGAAAGAATGATTAGATTCTTACAGCCTTCCCTGTTTTGCACCCTTAAATAATTTCCTACATATTCTACTCCACAACACGATCCATCGTAAGCTGCTATATTGACGTCATGCCTTCATTCTCACATTTGCTGAACCTCATTCTTTTTTTTTTTTTTTTTTTTGTGCTACTGGGGTTTGAACTCAGGGCCTACACCTTGAGCCACTCCTCTAGCCCTTTTTTTTCCATGAAGAGTTTTTCAAGATAGGGTCTCTTGAATTATTTGCCCAGGCTGGCTTCGAACCGTGATCTCTGCCTCCTCAGTAGCTAGGATTATAGGCGTGATCCGCCGGTGCCTGGCTCTGAACCCCATTCTTAAGGTCACAGTCAGTGGGCTCCATTCAGGTTGGAAATCTCCCCGCCTCTGCACCTTTTTTTTTGCAAGTGCTCTAGCTCTGAGCCAGTCCCAGCCCTGGAGAGAGATCCAAACATCCCCAGTTGAAGATATTTCAGAAGGTTCCCATGGCCTTACAATATAGTCCCCAGTATGTCATTCTGCAGGTGCTAACCACACTGTCCAGCCTATGCCTACCACTCTGTCTCTGCTCTGTGTTAGGTGACCCCCTTTCCTCAGTGCAAGAACAATGCTAAGCTTGAGCCTGCCCTGGGATCTTGCTTGTGATCTTCCCTTCACCTACTCTGTATCTCCTTGGCTTAGCAAAATGAACTGACTAGCTAAATCCTACTTTTGTTTCATTCTCATTCTAAGTAATAATCCCTTCCAATACCCCACTTAGTAACACATTCTTAAGTCCATATAAATAACTTGCCATTATTCATTCCAATACTTGCAGTACTGCCCTCAGCCAAGTTTTGCAATATATATGGCCTTAGTCGATAAAACAGACTTAAAAATTTGGAAGGTTTTTACAGTACCTTGGTGGAGTTGTGAAGCGGTTTAAAAGTATGAGTTTGAAGCCAGGCACAGTAGTGCACACCTGTCGTTCCAGCTACTCTGGAGGCTTAGGCAGGAGGATCTCAAGTTCTAGGCTAGCCTGGTTACATTGTGAGAACCAGTCTCAAAAAAAAAATTAATTTAGGGCTGGAGGCATGGCTCAAGTTATGGCAAGTGATATCAAGTACAAGGCCCTGAGTTCAAACCCCAGTACTGCCAAATATATATATATATATAAAAGAAGAACACAAAATGTTAAGATATAATTAAAATTTCAAAATATTAAGATTAATGTTGTTGGCAGACATAAACTGATAAGGCAGGAAAACATATGTAAAGATGAGAGGGTTTGTGTGCAACCAAAGGGAAGGAGCAAGGAGACCAAGATGGACAGTAACAGGGGTAGGGAAGACAAGGGACCAAAGGGTTTGACTGATGAGGCAGGTATCTAATGGGAAAGGCAAATATTTTGATTAACTTTTTAGAAAGGCACAGATGCTAACCTTTAGCATATTTCCTTATAGGCTTGGAGGTGTGCAGATGCATTCTGGCAGAGAACACAGGGTTTACTAGGCTGATGGACTAAACTTCTAGCTCAGAAACAAGACTCTAATATTAAAGAAGGGGCAGTCCATGTGTGACAGCAAGTTGAAAGCTCCACTGAACTGAGTGAAGTCATCTCTGACAATGGGGTGAAATCATCTTCAATGAGGAGATACTGCGGAATGGAACAATTTCATCTAAGTGACATCACTGTCAACAGTTAGCTTCTGGGCCAGGGTGAGGCTGTGTGGAATGTGGGAATGGGGTATCCTTTCCCAGTATACCCACACGAGTTGATGTAGGTATCAACTTTTGCCATGTCTGAAACAATGGCTTATTGTTTACTATAAACCAAAACCTATACCTAGACAGGCAGAAATAAGGCCAATAGACCACAAATTCTGTGCAGTTGTACCTGACAGCATTTTTATTTTTTATGAAGGTCTCAGCTCAAACAGGTCCCATCTCAGAGGAGCAGCTGCCTGGTCCATGTGACAATTTACAGTTAATAGGTACAGGTGAAGTACACCTCCTCCATCTGGCCTCCAAGCCCTAGTTTATGAAGATGAGACTTAGAGGTTCATTCGTCAGACTGGAGTTTTAAAAGTCGTTTAAAGAGACTGTTGTGTTGTTACAGCGTAGCTGGTTATCTGGGATTTATCAGCTCTACTGGGAGTACATGATAATTTTAGACTCTACTAAGTTTATTTGCAGTTGTTTTTACTGGGGACTCATGCTTGCTAGGCAAGCACTCTACGGATTGAGCTGCGCCCTTAGCCCTGTTGTTTTTATTTGTTTGTTTGTTTGTTTGCTTTTGAGATAGGGTCTCACTAAATTTGCCCAGGCTGGCCTTGAACTCTCAGTCATCTGCTTCTTGAGTAGCTGGGACTGCAGTTGTGCGCCACCACATCTGGTCGGATTTTCTTTTGAGGAAGCCGCAATTATGATGGACTGATTTTAAGTGCCATCATCTGAAGATTCAGTAAAATTTATAAATGAGGAGTGTGTTGCCACCAGAACTCCAAAAAGGAAGAAAAGATGCATTTTTATGTGTATACCCAGTGTCCGCGGAAGAGGACCTCATCAATGTAGTGTCAAACCTGTGCTCCTAGAAAAAGGTGGATGCAGTTAAAAGTCTGTCTGTAAGGTCATGTGTGACAAGAATGATGAAGTATTCGTGGTAATTTGGAAAAGGTGTATTGTGGCCAGGGCACTGGTGGCTCACACCTGTAATCCTAGCTACTCAGGAGGCAGAGATCAGGAGGATCGTGGTTTGAGGTCAGCCTGGGCAAACAGTTTGTGAGACCCTATCTCAAAAATACCCAATACAAAAAGGGCTGGTAAAGTGGCAAATGGTAAAGCACCTGCCTAGAAAGCATGAGACCCTGAGTTCAAACCCTAGTACCACTAAAAAAAAAAAAAGGTATATTGTGTTTCCTTGGAGGGGAAGGCAAACTGCAGGTGAGGAAATGTTAAGAGAGACACTGAACAGAATATATTGTCCAAATCTACAATAGCAAATATTTAAAAGATTATTGTTCAGAATCTGTACTTTAATAATACTAGATTTGAGGCCGGGCGTGGTGGTACATGTCTGTAATCCTAGCACTCGGGAGATGGAGGCAGGAGAACCTTGGGTTCCATGCCAGCCTGGGCTACAAAAGACCCTGTCTCAAAAAAACTAACAACCCCCCCTTCCCAACTATTCCCCCCACTAAAAAAAGAAAACACACACACACACACACACACAAAAAGCTGGATTTGGGTACTGAGATCTAATGGACAGGACCATAGCACTAAGGCTGTGGCAATCCCCTATATGGAGCCATTTATAGAGCTAGCTAATCTGCTTTCAGGTTTAAGAATAGGCAAAACTGAGATATTAAATGGAGAAGTGCGCTGGAGCTATGCCTAGCCTGTGCAAGGACATAGGGTCAATTCCCAGCATTGCAATAACACCAATTATAATAATAATAATAATGATAAAGGGAGAAGCAGCTGAGGAAATAACACTTTAAACTGATGGTTCAGAGATCCTATTTCTTAAACCAAATGGAAAGTGCCAAACACTTAAGTTTTAATTTACTATTAGCTGTGTCAGGGCATCCGTGCCCAGCATGGGGTACTATAGGGCAATGGCGATTATGACTGCTGGAAATTTATGCAAGGCTAAGGTTAAACTGAGGTATGTGCTTTTTCCCCCAATTTACTCTTCTGAGATTATACAGGTATAATGTTTACATCAATCTCCAGTATAAGAATAAGTTGACCCAGGCGCCAGTGGCTCACACCTGTAATCCTAGCTACTCAGGAGGCAGAGATCAGGAGGATCGTGGTTCCAAGCCAGCCCAGGAAAATACTTCATGAGACCCTATCTGGAAAAAACCCAAACACACACACAAAAAAAGGGCTGATAGAGTGGCTCAAGGTGTAGGCCCTGAGTTCAAATCCCAGTACTGAAAAAAAAAAAAGAATATCTTGAGCCCTAGCCCTAGTATTAAGTCTATGAAGCTTTGTCAATTAGTGCATTTCAGTAGGTGTTAATTTACAACTTATGTTGTAGTGGCACCAAAGACAACTGGTGCCCATTTTTATCTTTTAAATAAACTTGCAGTATAAAAAATATTTACATGTGTTACATAAACATCATATCTATATTCTGTAGTGTAAGTTTTTTGTTTCTGGTGGGATTGGTGTTTAAACTTAGTTTCTACAGCTTAAGTGACACCTCCAGTCCTAACAGCTGGGTTTTAAAGATATTTTTTTTTCTTTGGCGGGACTGGGGTTTGAACTCAGGACTTCGAGCTTGCAAAGCAGGTGTTCTACAGTTTGAGTCACACCTCTAGTCCAGGTTTTTATATAAATTATACTACAT